AAAACTGTCGCAGTTTGCAAGATGCTAATTCGTCCCAATCGGTATCGCGACGGAAATCAACATTCTCGACTTCTATGATTTCTGAAAGTTCTCGACGATTGCATTTGAGGCATGACCCAAAAAATAATGTAGAGACTTTGAGAGGTTTTTACATTTGTGCATATGGCGACATTAAATTTTGGCTCAGAAAGAGAACTGAGTCATATAGACACATGGTTAATTAGGCGCGAACAAAAGCCACGCCGCCTGTGGATACTGCTCACTGCAGGAAAATACCGCTAGTAGATCGCAGTCTCCACCACACACATGTGTTCGGCGTCTGTCGATAAGTGATAATGTCACCGCATTCAGACGACTTAGGGAAAGCCGGACTGACTCCTGATATGATCGGAGAACCTTCTTGCAAACTTCAAAATCACCGGTTTTCCTCATTAAAACTATGTGTGAGTGACGTGAACAAGTCTCCCATTCACCTTAAGAGGAGTCAGTGCAACTTTGCTCATACCGTTCTCATTGGTAAATAACAAGCCTCCCCCTTCTGAATGTCCTTTTCAATACTATTGCTTTTACTTTTTGCAAATGGATCCACTGACTACTGCCAATCTGTGCATAGATTATTTTACACAAACTCATTTTCCGTGTTATGGTATTTTATGTACTTTTGCAAGTAGTTAACGTGAACGGCTCAGCAATGCTGCTCAGTTAGGCTTTACACCGATCTCGTCACCGTTGTGGAGTGACGCACTATCACTGGCAAATTGCTCACTTTGTCATTCAGGCCAAATATGACGTGAGCTCTCGTCAATGCTTTACTCGAAGGCATCTAGAGGCGTCTCTTCTTGCTTCGTTCCACTTTTGTGCTGCGGTTAATTATTTTCATTCGGTAAGGTAAGTAGCCTGTGCATGTTCTTATCAAAACGCATTTATTATATGAACTTTCGAACTGCGCAATATAGTGTACATGGTCGATCCAGATAACATTAGCTGCTCTTTCCTTAAAAATCCTTTCTACATTGGAAGAGTTGTCAATATGTGAGACAGTCAGCAGCTGTGCCAATCATCTGTTAATGTTTAATTCAAGTTATATTTTCTATAAACTGGATTAGCTCTAATCATCAAGTGGACTGCTAGTTTCGTTGTAGGATAGTTGCAGCTGCAATAAACGATGAGCTTAAGATGCAGCAACAAACAGCGAAAAAAGGAGTCCTTAAGTAGTCTTTACGGAACGAACTAATTGTGTGAAAGTGATTATTTCTGTTAGCAAAACACTTTTCTGGAATTGGAGAGCTTTGATATAAACTGGAATTCAGGTGTGCGCGGGTCAGCATCCCATGTAGATTCCAACCCGAACAACAATGGCAGTAGACCCAGTACTGATAACATTATGCCCCCTAGGGTAAGTTAAAGTAAATTATGGTATGAGAGTACAAGAGCGATATCCGTGTAATTAAAAACGCGAGAGACTGTGAATGTTTTATGTCAATGCTATCCTCACTATTTGCATGACCTTGACCTTGGAGTAATTTTCCAACCAATTTAAGGTGCACCCCTGCTTGACAAGAACCAGTTAGAAGTGCAGAGAGAGAGTGCGACAATCTAGAATGCTCGGCCACCACCCACTAGTCAAAATTACATTCATTTTCGTTTCAAATTCAACTTCTGTCCTACGACTAATAATTACTCTAAGTGGTCA